ACAGTCAGATCAGACAATGATGCAGCCTGTATTTAATGAGAATTAAATGTTAAATCTTGACAACTAGAAGACAAATTCTAACTTTAACGATGCAATTATTTCCCATTCCTTTAACATTTTGTCTATTTTGGTTTGCAGTTTCTTGTAATTCTGTAGCACTTTCATTGCACCAAACAGATCAATGTTAACCACTAAAGTGTGTAAGCCTCAAGTATGCTGCTGCCCAATTCTGAACCTCCGGTGACTCCAGCTCAATGGGCTGACCCACAATTATCTGTTATTTTTGGAGCAGTGGGGCTATACTCAGTCATGCAAATTACAAGACACAGTTGCATACGTTGTCTTCTAAGAATACATCTTGCAAATAATTGTTTACCCATATTCTTAAATTCCTGGGGTTTCGTATACAAAAAAAAACCCCACCCAAGATACAATGCAAGCTTTTGTCACATTCCTGCAAGGCTCTTCATCTGTGTTCAGTTACGTCCAGATTTTCTCCTTTGCTACTTGCTGTGTGTTGAATCCTCTTTCTCTTTCCATTTAGAACTATGTGGCAGAAGGAAAATAATTCTGCTTAATACAGATCCAAACTGGCTTTTTAATAAACTCGTTAAAGAAATGGTCCATTTCAGCCCTCAAAATTTGCCTCAGGTACCTCTGCACCTTATTATTAAGCCTCAACCTGAAAATGAAAGGAAAAAAAAAGATAATAGGGTCTCAAAGACATGCTGCATGCTGCCTGTCATGCACACGGAGACCACAGCCTGGAAATCCACTTACTCAGTGTAAATCCAGTTCAGTTATATTGACTTTTCTTTCCCTCGTGGTATATTAGTGCTCATGAAAAACCTTGCAGCAAAAGCCCTAGAGAAAAAATCTTTTGTCCACAGACAAATGCACTTCCCACATTCTGCTCTATTACAAGAGGCAAAAGAGCCAAAGTGTTCTTCCTACTTTTACAATAATCACAAGGCCAGGCACTCAACTAAGACATAAATAACACATGGGCTTTGCTATGGACACTTTCTCCGGCCTTAATTCAGTGCTATCTCCATCCATTTATCCTCTCCTTCTCCACCAAATATATGAACAATTATGATCAGTCCACTGAAAATTTGACTGCAATTCTAACATTCAGCTCCTATAAGCCACCAGTCCACTCTTTTAGTCACCTCCAGATCATTGCTACATGTTAATTTACTCAAGCCAAATCTTCCTTTCTGTTTTTCATGTTTTTTTCTTTTTCTTGTCATCTTTTCTCTCTTCCTTTCCTTTCCTTTCCTTTCCTTTCTTTTCCTTTCCTTTCCTTTCCTTTCCTTTTCTTTCCTTTCCTTTCCTTTCCTTTCCTTTCTTTTCCTTTCCTTTCCTTTCCTTTCCTTTCCTTTCTTTTCCTTTCCTTTCCTTTCCTTTCCTTTTCTTTCCTTTCCTTTCCTTTCCTTTCCTTTCTTTTCCTTTCCTTTCCTTTCCTTTCCTTTCTTTTCCTTTCCTTTCCTTTCCTTTCCTTTCTTTTCCTTTCCTTTCCTTTCCTTTCCTTTTCTTTCCTTTCCTTTCCTTTCCTTTCCTTTCTTTTCCTTTCCTTTCCTTTCCTTTCCTTTCTTTTCCTTTCCTTTCCTTTCCTTTCCTTTTCTTTCCTTTCCTTTCCTTTCCTTTCCTTTCTTTTCCTTTCCTTTCCTTTCCTTTCCTTTCTTTTCCTTTCCTTTCCTTTCCTTTCCTTTCTTTTCCTTTCCTTTCCTTTCCTTTCCTTTCCTTTCTTTTCCTTTCCTTTCCTTTCCTTTCCTTTCCTTTCTTTTCCTTTCCTTTCCTTTCCTTTCCTTTCTTTTCCTTTCCTTTCCTTTCCTTTCCTTTTCTTTCCTTTCCTTTCCTTTCCTTTCCTCTCTCCTCTCCTCTCCTCTCCTCTCCTTTTCTTTCCTTTCTCATTTACGAAGCCAAAAGAGATTCAAGAGACAAATGATGGTGTCTGCAAAAGACTCAAACAACTCCATAGAAGGAAACAAAACAGCACAGGATCAGAGAGGCTGTTATGTGTCAACACAGTAAATACCTGCAGTCAAACTCTCAGCTGGTGTAAATCAACCTGTCTCCATCTGGGTTTATGAGGGCAGTGCAACCTGATGCTGAACACAGTAGAAAAACCTTACTGATATTAAACTACAACATTTTAAATCTGAGAGTATTGACCCTATCTGGCACCTATTTCAATTGATGGCCAAACTCTCATCTCCCCTAATAGGGAACAGCCAGGAGCACGCTCCATGCGAGGATGTGTGGGTCCTTAATACCATCTCAAAGCAGGGAACCCCATACAGTCCCCTCCCTTGCCCACCTCTCCCGGGGGTCCTGGAGACATTCCCAGGAACAGCAGCAGCAGCAGTCATGGTTGCACACTGCTGCCTATGTGAGGAAACCTGAAGCACGTGAGATGTACAGTGCACTCTATAGCAGAGGATGGTGAGCCATAGGTGGGTTCTCCTGTTATACTAGATCATGTAAAAAACATGGACACATTAAATATTTAAAGTTTCCTACCCTTAAAAAATCACAACTGCACCTAGCTTGTAGTAAACCAAAGCCATAGCTGCAGGGCATCTTTCAGCGGCCTAAGTCTGGTGTTTGAATTATACAGACTCCTTTGAACTACAAGAACTACAAATATTTGCTCGATCAGCTCCACCGTTCCTCTGAGGCAGCTAAACTGAGTGCCAAAGAGTTCCGATGATGGCACACACAGCCATTGGCATCCAGGAGAACAACATGGGATTCAGCAAACCAGGAGTCCAACAGGTTCTGATGCTCAAGGGTTAAAGATCTAACCAATGTTTTCAATTATCTAGATCAGTAAGAGAGAGATTTTGGCCAAAAATGTCTTCTTGCATATTTACTATATATCGACTTCTGACTTGACTTTATAAATGGCTGATCACAACTGCTTCAGCAAAGAACTGCAGAGAAAGATTAGGGGTCTGATCTCCATCCCCCCACCCTCACAACTGTTGGTGAATTCTTGAGGAACAAGCACCCTACTGCCAAAATATAGACCAGTCTCTAATCTGCCACCTTAAGAAAGGTGAGACAGACATTTCTTTGGGAAAAAATGGAAAAAGAAAGATGACCCACGTACTTGAAGAAATATTCTAGAGGTCATCTCCAGACTGTTGTCTTCTATGGCAGCCTCTACTCACTGCCTTTTCTTGTTACTGTTTTCCCAAAATCCAAGCACTTGCTTGCCTGACATTGCCAGTCCCTCTAGGACTGAGTGCAGCATGCAAAGCCCCATCCAAAAAGCAAACAATTACCAAGAACAAAGAAAAAAAGAAAAACTAAAAACTCGGTAAGAACAGGTGTCAGCAAGCTGATGGAAACACTTCGGCACAAAAACCATCATCTGCTTAGTTCAACATTGGCTGCAAGAACTGCTGCACTGCCTCAAACATCGACTTTTCTGGCTGGCTCATAGGCAAGCCCAGAAAGGCATGCTAATGGTTTGCTTGGTCAGGGCGTGCAGAAAGGAAGGAGAGGCAGTGAAGGAGCTTCCAGCTGCGTCCCCTGCTTCAGGAAGCTCAGGAAATTTCAGTTGACCAAGCTTGCAAGGGCTGTGGGATTACGGCCATTCAATGGATGAGGATGTTTCTTACGGGATGGCCTTTAACGATGTTAAAGGGCAAGGAGGTTTTGACTGACACACAGCAGACCCCAGAGAGACTAATTAGTTGGCCAGCCTCTTTTCCCTTCCCCACCCTTCTAGAGCATCTGCAAAGAGTCTTTAAATTTAACCTGCAAATGCTAATATTTTTCCTTTGTAGCACTGGATTGTTCTCTTCAGGGCTTTTACATGTGCTTTCCATTTACGCAATGCTAACTCCCATAATGGTCAATAAAGGCCAGTATATTAAGTATGATAAACTCATGTTCCCAGCCATGCACAGAATTCAAATTGAATTACAAAGTCAGCCTATGTTCATAAAAACAACACTATCGAGCAAATGGAGCTTTACTGCACTACGTAACAGATATCACATATCTTTGGGTTGTTGTCAATTCTTCATATAAATACTTTAAATCACTTAGACTTCATTTTGCACACTGTATAGTGAGTCTCTTCATAATCAAATAGTATTTAAAACATTTACTGCCTTGTTAAATCTAACAAGTTAGATTTATTGGGATAGTCACTTTCCTTAATAGGCAATTTAGTAAAACTCAATGTATTCATTGATGGATAAATATATAATAGGCGGTTGTTAAACCTTAATAAATATGTTTAATAGTCAGCTGGCATTTTCTCTCAATGGCAGCACTTCCTCTCGGCTGCCAACAGGAAATGCTGCTCCTGAATGTGCCAATTCAGCCCACATGCAGGGAATAAATTGATCTAGAGGAGCAAACGGGAGCACAAATTTCAGGTAGCTTTCCTGCGCTGCTTGTCACAAGAAGAACTCTAGCTCAGATTATCCTATGCTCCCATCAAGACCATCAGGTGTTAAATAGCACACAGTGTAAGGAAGAGTATGAGCTACTGTGTTTGCCTAGACTCCATACAAGCAATGAACCAGGACAGGAAGGGCAGCTGGCTACCTGAAAGCCATATAAGTAATATTCATGTATTATTATTGCAATTTACAGTCTTAGCGCACTCCTTGTTTCATGTATATCATGTCGCATTCCCTCACCCCACCCTGCCACTCTGTGTGTTGATCGACAGATTAAATTACAATGCCTCGGCTTGTAGCTAGATCTAAAAGGTACTCTTTTAAGACTTTTAGGTACCTAAGAAAAAATTTTAGAGGAGTCCACACCATTAGACAACTAAAAACCTTTAAAAATCTGGCCCTTAGCTCAAACTGTAGAACTTTATGGCTAAACTATGCAGGTCCCAGGATCAGTTCTCCAAGCTGAAGGCAGCTACTGCATGTGAATGAGAAAAACCAGATCAAAATACCTTCAAGAGAGAATGTATTTGTACGTTGCGCTGGGAAGTTTGATCATAGCCACGAGACACTCACCTGGGTGGGATTATACAGTTCCTGGAGCGGGCTTCTGGATCCTTTCCGGCAGCAAATGTCCATCCCAAATGGATTTCTACGCATTACTGCAAGGGGAAATTGAAATTAATACAGGTTAGCAACATTGGTTAGCAGTAACCTACTGCAATACCTACAGCAAGAAGAGATTTTCCGACAGATCACGGGATTCTAGACAGTGTTGTGTTGTAATTCCTAATTCTACTTTCCCTAGGAATTGTCCAAGAGCTAAATCCTTTATCTATTGTGGAAGTTACTAAAAAAAAACCTCTCTGGTTCCCCTCTTATAAAAGCTGTTATCCAACAACTTCCAGCTTGGGTGCACAAAAATTCAAGCATAGGGACCACAGCGACACAATTTTCAGCAGTGCTAGGGACCTGCTTCTCTGATCATCAGGGAGGAGTCGGATGGATTCCTATAATCAGCATCTCTGAGAGGCAACATTTGAGCCTCTCTCAGCCTAAATACAGAAGTACACAGGAACCTAATATTAAAACATCTGATTTCCAAGCTTTTGGCCTAACTCTTCGGTTTCTCCTAGAACAGACACTCAGCAGTACACGACACACATACAGTCAATCATTGCTGCAAACTATATTTTGCTCTACATATTGCAACTGAGTATTTGACTGATCTGAAAAGTAACATACGCTATTACATCCCAGTTGGAGACCAGCAGGTTTTCAAACCAAAGGCTTTGTCAAAGGTCTGACTGAGGGGCATTTTGGATGATAAGTGTTTCCAGGAGAGACCTTGATCTGAGCTCCAGCAGGCGCAGAGATCATCAGTTTCAAGTTAGACCTTTGAGGCCGTAAGTCTACATAAGAAGCCATTTGGCTCCGATCACCCTCTAGTCATGAGGAAAACAAGAGCTTGCCTGTCCCTCTAATCTCACGTGGCCCACATCATCCTCTGCAAACACTCCTCTGCCCCAGCTTGCTCTGCTAGCCACGGAAGGAGCATCAGGCAATCAGACGCCCACATCAGGCATCGCCGTGAGGGGAGATTTGTCTCGTCAAGGTTTAATTAAGACACAACCAAAAGGAAAGAAGAGATGATCCTGCTGGGAATCCAAAGGCATTAAGCAGTCGGGCACACTTTTACCACCGCTTGCCGCACTTTGTAACCAGAAACTACTGAAGTGTCCTATAGCAACGGTTCTGAGCTGCACCACTTGCAGACATGATATTGCAGGCTTCAAGCCAAGAGTCGGAGAACACAGTCAAGTAATGTTTTAATACAGAGGGCTGATACGCAATCATAATTGATATGTCAAGTACCATGAACCACAGAAAACTGTACACAATTCCGGTCTGGAAACATAATAGATTCCTTCATTTGCTTCCTATCTGTTTTTCAACTGAAGGTAATTATCTAATAACGTGCCGTGTTGCTTTTCCCCTGAGCAAAAAGAAATCCCACGGGTCTTGTGGCAGGAGTCAGACATATATGCTTAGTAAACAAACTGGCTAAATGTTTTGATTTTCTTCACAATTAGGATAGTAATGTTATTAGAGGCTATAATTTTAATTTACATGTTTAAATACCTGATTAACTTCTGAGCATTTTTAGTCACGCAGCCAAGTATTGCGATTCCTTCGTTTTTGTGCTAATGTGCGTTTTTAAAAGTTAACTTAGAAAGTGTTTGAAACAGTTAAAACTTTAAAAAGATTTTGCATGAGTAATGTCAGCTTCCAGCATCTGAAAGTGGTTTTAGGAAGAAAACAGTGAAGTGAGGGTATGAGACATCCAGCAGTCGTTCTAACTACAGAATGCCTGTCCATCCCATCCCCATCTGTTGTCCCCCTCCATACTCTCGTACCAGGAACCGTGTCCAGGGATGCTTTGAAAATAATTTTGTAGCTCCCTCACTATTACAAGAAAACTTTCTAAAATGGAGCCTTCCAGTCAACAGCAAAACACATCGTTTCCATTTAAAACACCAGAGCAGGGGGAAAGGGAGAGGGGAGCGTTTCAGTGTATCCAGGTCATTAGACTGTGATTAACCAGGATCTTGAAACACTGGTGCTTTTTTCCAAAATGAAGAAGAATTCTAGTGTGGTGTTCCCTAATTTATTACTTCACTTTTCATTTCCATTAAATACAGTGAACAGTAACATGCATAAATATATCCCTTCCTGCGTCACTTAGCCAGCAGGTATCAACACAGCAACACTTTATATGCAGCAGTAACAGCCATAAAGATTAAATTATTTGCACAACATGCAAGATTTGATTCCCAGATGTAAACAAACAAACAAACAAACAAAAGCAACTGTCTCCCCAGCAAAAGCTAAATGCTAATGTAGAATCTCAGTCACAGAAGCCATTAAATCTTTTTTATGATTCCCAATATTACTTAATTGGTTTGGTTTTTCAATAAAGCCTTCAGAAGACGTTGTAGTAAACCGCATAGCCAACACAGCAGCTCAACACAGCACTCAGTTCCCTGTTTATCAGTGTCAGCATGCCCTGATGCAGCTGTACACAGCACCTCTGCGCACACCTGGAAAATACTTGTGCCTGGAATTTAACTGCAGCATCGAAATAAAGAGGAATACTCCCCTTTCCTCAGCAGAAATCCCACTCACACCTTTCGCAAAATTCTCCTTTGGTGAGTAACTGTCAGGAATGGTTATATATAGTTCAAAACACTTGCTGGCGTGCCTGTGGACAAACTCACTTCTCAAGGCTCCTGCAAGCAGTTTTCTACTGTCTCAGCTTCTCTGAGGCAGTGTTTCATTATGTGAATGACATGACCTTTTTGCCCTGAATCTCTTCTATAGCAATCTGCAGTAAGAAAACCGTAATACGGATGTTAACTGCAGCTATACTAATTTTAACACTTTCACTAAGACTCCATCACACTATTGTGGTAGTGAAAATTGAAAAAAATCAAGCCCTTTATCTTCATCAAATCTTCTTATTAACATGGTAAATATCTAAATTTACATTTCATGGCTTGGGCTGATCTCCATTCATAATTACGGTTAATTATAATCTAATGATAAGTATTGCATATGCATGGCTCCAAGAACTGATTAAAAGATCACGTTTATGCACCCTAAGTGTACGAAGCAGCTGACAGCAGCATTTAATGCCTTTAATGATTAAAGAGTGGTGTTAATACTGCAACTGCAGCAAAATCAGCAATCCCCTGAATTTAGCCAGGACTGTGAGCAACTGAATGAATTGTTAGTTTGTTACTTAAATACAAGAGCTATAAGAACACGACCTTTCTTCCATCTCTAGGAATGATTTGTCCAAAATGCAATCTTGGCCCATCACTGTTGAAATCTTTGGCATCACTATTCATTAATTTAATAGCAAGTCTGGAGAGCATGTTATCTAGGCACCAAATTTCAGTTTCTCAAGAGAGAAAGATAAACAGTCCTGCTGAGGTGAAAGCTTATCATAGAATCATAGAATCATAGAATCATTAAGGTTGGAAGAGACCTCCAAGATCATCGAGTCCAACCGTCAACCCAACAACACCAGGCCGACTAAACCATGTCCCTAAGCGCCTCATCTACACGTCTTTTAAATACTTCCAGGGATGGGGACTCAACCACTGCCCTGCGCAGTCTGTTCCAATGTTTAACTACTCTTTCAGTAAAGAAATTTTTCCTCACGTCCAATCTAAACCTCCCCTGGCGCAACTTGAGGCCATTTCCTCTCGTCCTATCACTTGTTACTTGGGAGAAGAGACCGACACCCACCTCGCTACAACCTCCTTTCAGGTAGTTGTAGAGAGCAATGAGGTCTCCCCTCA